CTACAAAGTACTTACCGATTCTCATTTCGAAATGTCCTAATGATGCTTGCCACAGTGTAGCGGCTCAAATTAGGCTGAACCCGTTGGCCAGCTTCCCTCAGGGTCATCCCATGGTTGATGACATGGTCCACTATTGTAGCTCTGATGTCATCAGTTATTCTATTTCTTACTCTTCTTACCCTTCCTCTTTCCCCTCCTCGTCCACTTCTTGCTCCTCCTTGTCCTCTTCCTCTAACTTCCTCTAACTCTCTCGCTTCTTCACCTCCACATCCTCTCCCTCGGCCTGGTCAGCCTCCTCTGATTCTCACTCTTCTCACTCTTACTGCTCCTTCCATTGTACTCCACATAGACAGCTTACCTGTGGCTTATTTATAGTTGGCAAAATAGTGTTAATGATAGCCATACATGTGTATAATTTTGCTAGGAGTGTGTTGGAAATTTGGTAATTGAGTGTAAGCAGTGAGTTGTGTTTAAAGTTCTGCAAAAAGAGTGTTGTGCAGCGAATTGTGCCTACAGTTTTGCAAAGTGTGTGTTACAAAATTGCAAACTGAGTGCAAAGCAGTGTTTGTGCTTTTAGTTTTGCAAACTCAGTGAGTGGTTTTGCTATAAGTATTAATAGTTTTAGAAATTGTGCTATAAGAATCACAGTTAGGGTTTAAGCCATCATAAAAAACTGTAAACAACTGGTAGAATCATCCGTTCCCAGGCCACTTTGGCCATATGGTGTAGTCATAAACCGTGGCGGATGTTTACATGAAACCGGGGCATCAAACAAAGAATAATGATTCGTAAGACACCCCATTTCAAAATGGTAGCAACAAACGGAGCGCCATGTTATTCCAAATAAGTCCCCTTAACCGTGACGTTTTTAAAGTAATGAAGCACTTTTCAGCTAATGTGAATAATAAAGTAAGGTGCCCTAAACATTTCTGACAACAAGAATCAAGGAATAACGCTGGTAATCCTTGTTAAAATGAGTGTACGGCATTAGCCCAGAAGCAGGGGGTGTCCGAAGCTTGCCCAAGCGCNCAACAAGAATCAAGGAATAACGCTGGTAATCCTTGTTAAAATGAGTGTACGGCATTAGCCCAGAAGCAGGGGGTGTCCGAAGCTTGCCCAAGCGCTCTGACGCAGAATGTACCAGGGTGGCCGAGTGGTTAAGGCGTTGGACTTAAGATCCACTGGATGTATGGCCGCATAGGTTCGAACCCCACCCCTGGTAAACCCTTTTTGATGAAAACCAATGAGATGAGAGAAGACCGTGCTTAACCAAGTTGAAAACGTATTAAAACCCGTCCATCCTGTGAACCATCACTCAGGACGAGACACATCCCCCCAGCAAGCAATGGCGAGCGAACTGACATCACCCAGTCCGACATTCCATTGAAGCCGCCCTACTGGAGCCTGCATCGCCTTCTGGCCTGCGAATGGGTGATACAGACCCGTACCTTCAGTGGTACCCATCATTAACTTGGCATCAACTATTGAACTGCGACTGGACAAACCGCTAGCGCATCCTCAACTCATCCCGCGGTGGCCCGCATCATGGGGCCCGTATGGGGCACCGTTCCTGCCACCACCACCACCCCCTTCTAGCCCGACCTGGGCTGTGTGGCCGGGATCACAACAACCTCCGCAGGAGGCCTCCGACCTAATGGACACATCGCGACCCCCTGCACCGACGATAGATGAGCTCTGCGAGCGTTTTGCGGGGCTGTCATTATCTGAAGATGCTATGGATGGGAGCATCACCGACTCTGCCATGAAGATAATCAAAGGGGCACTGGCCTGTATTCTGGATGCAGGAGACCTGTGTCGGGTGTTCTGTGAAACATCTGAGCCAGCGGAGGCACACGCGTCTCTACGAACCTGAACCGTTTTACTTCTTTAACAATTTTGAAAAGCTGAACAAAAAGCTGTATAGACCATGGTGTAAATATATCATCACGAAAGCGGTCGCGATGTTTCACTCTCACCCCACACCTGTCAAAGTCCAAAGTGCAGTCGATGCAGTAATTTCTGAACTTAAAACCGAAATTAATGTACGTGAGAAATTGCGCGAGCTGAAACGTGATGTTGAAGGGAAATATGAGTGTGCTGTAGATATTATGAGTGTGCAATTAGGGATATTTCTGGGATATGCACAAGTTCGAGCAGACTCAGTCTGGTGTGTAAACGCTGAACAACGTCTGTCAAAATGTGATTGGCTGGCAATTTTTATATGCTTTTCTAAATAAAATGAGTCATGAAAACACTTTGTCATTATTGCTAGAGGTTCACGATGGATAACAAGCACTTGAAACGTGTCTATTAAATGCCATCAAACCCTGGGTCATTTGGTGGTGTCAATAGATTATACAGGTCACAGATAAATGACCAAAGTGGACATACTGTGGATAAGAAGCAAGTTGCGACATGGCTGTCTGGTGAAGATGCATATACATTACATAAACCGATCAGATTTAACTTTAAAAGGAATAGAGTCTTTGTGACTAATATCGATTCTCCATGGCAAGCTGAATTGGTGGACATGTCGGCTTACGCGTCCCAGAATGATGATTTTAAATACATGTTGACGTGCATAGATAGGCCTATTCTATCAAAATACACATGGGTGCGCTGCCTTAAAAGCAAGACTGGTTTAGAGGTAAAGAAAGTGTTTGAAAACATTCTCTCTGAAGGCCGGATACCCGCAAAGAGAAAAAAAACGATCGAGGGACAGAGTTTTTTAACACATTGTTTCATAAGCTTACAGAGAAACATGGGATAATACATTTCGCAACCAGTAATGATGTTAAGGCATCCATAGTAGAAAGATTTAACCGCACTTTAAAGACACAAATGTGGCGCTATTTTACGGCTTATAATATAAGAAGGTATGTGGACATTGTACAAGATCTGGCGAGTGCTTACAATAACACCTGCCATAGCACCATTAAAATGAAGCCGGTTGAGGTGAATACGGAGAATGCCGGACAGGTCTTCAACAACA